GTCTTGACTATTGGTGGCCCTGCATGAAGCGGGATGTGGCATGGTACGTGGAGCGGTGCTTGACCTGCAGGAAGGTCAAGGCCGAGCATCAGAGACCACACGGCTTGATGCAGCCGTTAGATATTCCCATGTGGAAATGGGAAGACATTACGATGGATTTTATCACGAAGCTTCCCAGGACCGCGCGAGGCGTAGATTCGATTTGGGTCATCGTCGATCGATTGACCAAGAGCGCCCATTTTATTCCGATTCAGGAGAGTATTTCGGCCGAAAGGTTGGCCGATATCTACATCAGGGAGGTGGTGGCGAGGCACGGGGTGCCAGTTTCGGTGATTTCAGACAGGGATGTGCGGTTCACTTCCAGGTTTTGGAAGAAGTTTCATGACGAGCTGGGTACTCGTCTGCACTTTAGCACTGCATTTCACCCGCAGACAGATGGTCAGAGCGAGCGGACCATCCAGACTCTGGAGGATATGCTGCGGGCGTGTGTGTTAGATTTCGGTGGTAGTTGGGATACTTACCTCCCATTGGCTGAGTTCTCGTACAACAACAGCTACCACGCGAGTATCGACCGTCCTCCCTTCGAGATGTTATACGGGAGGAAGTGCAGGACCCCGATATGTTGGGGTGAGGTTGGCCAGAGGGTCATGGGGAGCACCGAAGTGGTGCTCAAGACGACAGAGAGGATTCAGCAGGTTCGGAGCAGGCTTCAGACTGCTCAGAGTCGGCAGAAAAGTTATGCCGACAAGCGCCGATCAGACCTGGAGTTTCAGGTCGGGGATATGGTTCTCCTGAAGGTGTCGCCATGGAAGGGCGTCATCCGATTCAGGAAGCGGGGCAAGTTGGGTCCCAGGTATATTGGACCCTTCAGGGTTATAGCCGGGGTGGGCAAAGTGGCGTATAGGCTGGACCTGCCAGCCGAACTCAGTCAAATTCATAACACTTTTCACGTCTCCCAGTTACGGAAGTGTTTGGTGGACGATTCGGCAGTGGTACCTTTAGAGGATATTCAGGTCGATGACAACCTGAATTACATCGAGCGGCCTGTAGCGATCCTCGACCGGAAGTCGAAGGATCTGAGGAACAAGAGGGTCGAGCTGGTGAAGGTGCAATGGCAGCACCGGAAGGGCTCGGAATGGACTTGGGAGCCGGTGGATGAGATGATGGAGCATTACCCAGAGCTTTTCTAGGAACGAGCAGCAGACTTCGAGGACGAAGTCTAAAATAAGTGGGGGAGATTTGTAGCACCTGGTTCCTGGTATGTATTTTATTTAAGTATTTTGCGTTTTGGACTGGGACTCGGCGAGTTGAAGGCCCAACTCGTCGAGTAGAAGCGGATTTGATCCGGGATTTAAATGACGGACTCGTCGAGTCGGCTTCCAGACTCGACGAGTAGACTCTGACTGGACAAAACCCTAATCTAAGGGTTTGCACCCTATTTAAGCATCTCATTCGGCCACCCTTCGTCCCTATTGCTTCCAGAAACCCCCCATAGCAAACCCTAACTGTGTGTGTGAAGATCTAAAGGCATTTGTGGCGATTCTTGGTGGTTTTTGATCACAAGGAAGAAGAAGGGCCTAGAGGAATCAAGAGGAGACCAAGGGAGTTCAAGTTTGTGCATCATTTGCAGTTCCCAGAAGGTATAAAGTCGATACCTTGCTTGTTCATTTGCTAGATCCCTTTTTGGGGAGATTTAGGGCTTTTATAAGCCATTCTTGGTAACCAACCATGATTGCAAGCATGGTTGGGGGTTGAGGCTTCGGATCTAGGTCCATGGAGGAGTTACAAGGCAGAAAAGGGCTGCTTTTGCACCCATGGAAGCCCCCATGCAACTTAAGAGCCTATTTTAGAGCCTTTTTGGCTCAAAGTCCCATACATGCACGTAAAGTTCGTAACTTTACGTGATAGATCGAGTTTAGGGACCTAGATCTATCATTTGGACAAGAGTTGTACACCAGAAATCGAAGAAATAGACTTGGACTGTATCAACTCGGCGAGTCGTTCTTGGGACTCGGCGAGTCCGAGGTTAGACTCCCCTTTTCTGTTATGGTTCAAGAGACCCAGTTGAGTGTTAGAAAGGTTTTAGAGGGTCCAGGGGAGTGACCCAAACGTATTGAGATAAGCCATAGTCCTGGAGTTCATAGGACTCGGCGAGTGCATGAGCCGACTCGGCGAGTCCAAGGAAATCTCCCAACTCTTGAAGATGAACTCGATGAGTTGTTCATACAACTCGGCGAGTCGAGGACAGGACTTGTTCATAGGATGAAGATGAACTCGACGAGTTGTTCATACAACTCGGCGAGTCGGATGAAGGTTCATCCGGGGTTGTTTTAGAAGGAGAACTCTTCGAGTTGTTGCCAAACTCGACGAGTAGAGACGTCGATGAGGACAGTTGAAGAGATAGGGACTCGACGAGTTGGCGGCCCAACTCGGCGAGTCAGGTCAACTGGAAGTTGACTTTGACTTTGACTTCGACTTGGTCAGGGGTAAAATTGTCATCTTACTCTAGGAATAGATATCAGACTCTGATTAAGTGTTTTGTGGGGATTATAGCCGGAGGATTTCCGGAGCAGCAGCAGACAGAGATTTCCCGCGTAGATTATCAGCAGCTACTCGTTCGAGGTGAGTTACCTTCCAGTAGGGGTGGGTCTAAGGCCACAATGCCGGCCCACCAACAAGGGTAGTTGTTAGATAATTGTCTTTGTGATAATTGTCTTGGTATGGTTATGTGCTTTGGTCATGGGATATGCCTGTGTGACATGTTATGTGTGTTACTGGTAGTGGTTAGTTTTTCCCTGACATCGGTCTTTAGGATCGAGGGGGGTAGGTCAGTACCCAGTTATGCCTGATTGTATGATTATACCTTGTTATTGTATGATAATGGTAGGGGGTGAAATAGTCCCCATTTACCGGTTGAAAGATACCGATGGTAGTTACCGGTTGAAAGATACCGATGACAGTTACCGGTTGAAAGATACCGATGACAGATAGCGGCTGAAGGGTACCGATGACAGTTACCGGTTGAAAGATACCGACGATATTATATGGTATGTGGTATGATGGGGGAACTCACTAAGCTTTGTGCTTACAGTTTCAGTTTTGGTTTCAGGTACCTCTTCGTCTAAGGGGAAGGAGCCGGCGTGTAGCATCGCATCACACATTCACACATGATTTCCGCAATGAGCTTCTAGGATTGTACTCTGATTTCCATCACTTATAATGTTATGATTTTGTGACACGACATTGTGGTTTAAACCTGATGTAATATTGACAATGTTCTGGTAACATATTTTATGACTTGCTTAATTTAAAAACAAAATTTTTGGTCTCAAATTTTGGGATGTTACAGTACTAAAAAAATAACTTATTATGTTATTTTTATATTTGTTAAAACTATTAAAAATTTTCATTTGTTTAATTAATCATTAACAATTGGATAACTTAAGTATACTAGTTGCATATAACCTTCATTGAACTAAAAAGATTATATGTTATTAATTTAATTTATAAAGCTTATGTTAAATATTAGTTATAGTTTTTGGGAAATAATGGTATTATAGTGCTTTTGACAAAGTTGTAGCAACTTTTTGCAATATCATTTGTAGTTTTTGAATGAAGTTATAACAATTTATTGTGATATCTATCTCTTTCTTCGATTGAGTTTTGATTCAGTTGACCATCAAATTTTTATGAATGTCACAATTTACTCATATAAATTCAAATCGTGTTAATTAAAGATTGAACGTTTATTTTTGTTCTCATTTTCTCATTATGACTATCTATTCCGATTTTGCATGTTATTTCAAGGAATTTTGACTTAAATGACCCTCGAAGTTATATAAATTACGGTTGGTTGTGGAAAATTGTTTTCATTTTTCAAGAAAATGTTTCAGAAAATAGCGTTGAGTTTTCTTTTTCCGTTTTCAATGAAAATTGTAGAAAACGCATTTGGTTGAAATTGGTGGAGTTTCTATTTTCTATCTTAAAAATTTAGAAAATTTTGGAAAACTTTAAAAATCAATTTTCTAATTTACATACAATTTGAAAAATAGAAAATTTTTATTTTCTTAGAAAATTTTAAAAAACTGAATCAACCAAATACGTTTTTGAAATTTTCGTTTTCATGAATTTTTTTTTTTTTTTTGCAAGTAAACACATTTCTTTCTTTCTTTCTTTTTTTTTTTGAGAAAAACAACAATCTTTTGATGAAAAATAACATTCATTATTTTAAAAATTATATAAAATTATATATTTCATTTACATTGTTTTGGAGAAAAAAAATGTTATTGTCACCGGAGCCCAACATACTTTAATATATTGATTTAAATAGTTCCTCATGACTTTTTTTTGGTAGTTTAGGGGCATAAAGTCTATTTTTATCTGCTAAAAAAGACTCAATACTTGTTATTATCGGTATCCTTGATGACGTGACTTTTTTCACAAGTTATAAGAATTAAACTAAAATCCACCTCACAAATTACCAAATCATAACCAGAATCTACTCAAACACTTAAAATGTCGGCACCATATCAGAACATCTCCGACTCCCACCAAAGAAACTAGTCATAGTCGAATCAACGTCCTTGAGTCCAACATCGATGCTCAACGAACCCCTAGTTCTGTCACCGGTGTGTACCATGACATCCGTATCTCTGTACTTCCCCATACATTTGCAACCCACCACAACCGCTTCTCCGCCTACCCAACACGTTTTCATAGTTGGATTCTGAAGAATAAGAACTCTCCTACGAGGAAGACGACTCATTGCAAACCATCATCATCTTGACAACTTTCTTTTTCGCCTTCTCTTATTTCTTCACCCTCTTTGACTCGTTGTAACCAGAATCCTGTTCTTCCCGTCCGACCCTTTCCCTATGCCTTGCTCTGCCACAAAACTCAACGAATTCGCCTCATAAACAAGTCGTAGATGGTCTCAAGGGTTCATCCCCACTCCACTATACATCAAAGTATCGTGAATCGTTTACATAATAGATCTGACCTCAAGGAGGGATTTTGATTTTTGGGTGTGTGAGAACGAAGTCTCCGGTGTAATTATCGAGAGTGAAGGCGTGTGCGCCGGAACCGAAGGTGGTGCAGAGTATGGTGGCGTAGGAGTAAAGAACATAGATGGTGGCGACGAGGCGATTGCCGCTCTTTAATGAATTCAGCAACGCCTTCTCCTCCGTTGGAAGATTATCGGGTTCTATTAAACGATTGTAGATCCCAAATATTGTTCCAGTGGGGATTGAAGCGTTGATGTTACGAGAACCATCTAGGGGATCTGTCACCACCACAAATGGGGCGTTATCGGTTATCCAAACGGGAGCATCGTCTTCTTTGGTAGCCATAACTGCAACTTTTCCAGAGTTTTTCAAAGAAGATAAGATGGTCTCATTCTGTTTAAGAATACGAAACCCCCAAAATTTTTGACAAAAGAGATCGAAAAATACAGACAAATGATTAGAGTACATACAGAACCAATGTCGAGTGGCTTAGGTTTGTCTCAATCAGAGTCAACATCTGGGCCACTGCCGGAGCCGGAGAAGACAACATCGGAGCAGGTGAGGATGAAAGATGTTAAGGGATTTGATCGGATTCGGGTTCTAAAGAAAGCATTACATTAGGTTTTACACGTGGCAATTAAGTTGACATCTAAACCTGCTGATTAGGATGAGTGTCACCGGGTAACCCCTTCAAAATTTCCAAAAGGACATTTTAAAACCTAAAAATATAAGTTCGTGTCCTTCAAATGCAAAAAATAGTTACGAGCGACCATTTAAACCAATATGCTAAAGTTTGTTGGGCCGGTCACAATAACAAAAAAAAAAAAAAAAAAAACTACAAAAAAAAGGGAAAAAAAAACCTAAAAAACTTTACTTTTGATTCCGATCTTTGAAACGATGGAAGAGGGGTTAAGTTTCAATTGTCCAAACAATCATCATGTGTAGTCTGGGAACTTTTCTGTTCCCGATTTCCTGTCTTCAGTTCTTTAAACCCCATTGATATGCGACTTTGTATCAGGTATTATTTCCTTTTGACAGTCGTTTGACAATCATACTCTTATGCACTCCAGATGTTTGTGAAATTGCCTGATTTCTTTCAACTTTACAGGCGATCGATTTTACTTGCCCTTTCAATGCATCGGGGTTTTGCGTCAAAGATGTTCGGAGCTCAAATTGTAGTTCGCATGCTTCCATTTCTGTATTGTGATGTAGTATATGCCTCAAGTAAGTGTGAATTGCAAAGTTATTAAAACATCTCTTGTGTTGTTTGTAAGTTTCCAATGCTTACTTCTACTTGAAGTGAGAATATCATTGGATGTAAGATATCAAAGAGATTATTACGACTTGAATAGAATACTGAGATTCTTAAAGCTTGGATCGTTGGTTAGTTTTGTACATTTATCTCAACATTTAGAAAGAAAACTGATCACTGAGAATTGAAGAATCATAATAAGATCAAGAGATAATTGGTTGCTTGAAGATAGAAAATCTAATCTTGCTACTTGAAGAATCATAATTAAATGATGTGATAATCAGTTGCTTTAAGCAGTATGATATATTTATACCAACTCTCAATAATGCTTTCAGGCTACTATTATCCAAATATGATTCTCTTAATTTGGAAAATCAGAATTCTTTTTACCCAAATACTTAGACATATTATTGCCACTTCTTTTCATATAAAATCAGTTGAAGACATCCATCATGGAAAATGTTCAATCTTTTATGTGTAACAGACTATAAGGAGATTCCTTACATATATGCATGCCGTATTTGTCCATTGTAAATGGGAAGCTAGACTGCATAAAATTGAGCTGAAGTTTTGGTATCATTTCACTATTAGTTAGTTTTTGTAAGTTAGTTATATTTTGCACTTCCTTCATTCATCTCGCTATGAAAATCTATGAAACAAGAGTAATTGCTTTAACCGACTTCTCAAAGAAAGACCATAATGCCCCTTAACAAAGAGATTATTACAAAAAAAAGTCAACCCTTTAAGGTTTGACCCGTCTTGTATAAGTAAACCTCAAAGGAAAAGGACCACTCAGTAAAGTTTCACTTTCACCTTGTCCTCAAGGTGAGCATTATTAGGGAACATCGCATCCAAATTCTCCCAATGATGCTTCAAAAACTGATAAGTCTTTCCATTTAACAAGAATTTTAAGTTGAACTTGTAGTCATACCTCCCGATTTTGGTAGTCCTTCAATGAAATCCATAGATGCCTCTTCGCACACTTTCAATGGTAATTGAATTGGTTGAAGTAACCAATTCAATTGTGCTACTATTTCATTTGAGTTGAAATTGTGTGTTGCTCCACAATCGGTGAGTATTACTCACTATGTTGTATCAATCATTAAGGCTATGTTTGGTGTACCACAGCTAGCTTATTTTTTGAGCTTTTTTATGTTGTCATGTTTGGCAAGTCAAAAAGTAGCTTATAAGTTTTTAAAAAGCTATTTAGACTAGCTTTTTAAAATATTTCTAAAATATACCCCTTAATTAATTATAGAAACACATTTTTTTTTGAACGACGGTTTGGTGCAGCGGGCAATGACATCCAATAGGACAGTATGCCATAACGCCCAACGAACCCGTGTTCGATCCCTCCCCGAAGAGATAACAACAACATCCTCAGCAACCCAGTTTCCCATTAAGGAGTTTCACTGCTTTGGACGCAGATAGAACTCGGCACCATTCCCCTCCGAAGGAAACCCCTTGGGAGGGGAAAACTGGAGTGTGCCTCCGCCCAGTTAAATTGGACCTCATTGGCATAAACACATTCTTTTAAATGCCCTTTTATGTCATTTTATATCTTTTAGCTAGTTTTTCAGCTTGTTTTACCAAACGTCATTTTTTATCGACTAACAACTAGCTTTTCAGCTAGTACGCCAAACATAGCCTAAGTAGGAGCATGAGAGGAAGATGGAAGTAGCAGTGGATATCTACGTTATACACGATTAAAGTTATCTACAACATATGACGATAAAAAAACTTTTTAATAATCTAATCAATTGCATTTATGACCTCTATTTCTATCATAAAAGGAAGAAAAGTTAATCAAATGATACAAAACAATGCATAGTAACCGTTGGATTATATTGTCAATCAACGTCCACAAATCAATCAACTTGCTAACCCTCTCATTTTACCACCCTATAGCCGCCATCCTCATTTTCCTTCCTCCTCTCTTTGCTTCTCATGTCTCCCAACACAAAATCTATCGAAAATTTTCTTCCCAACTCGATTTGTTCAAGTAACAATTTATCTGAGCCAAGAATGGCTAGTTACCCTTATATGGAATCCGAATCTAATCAAGGATTCTTGAAAGATTGGATCTCTTTATACGCCTCAACTCCTTTTGAGTTGAATGATAAAAGCATACGACTTTTGAACACTCCTTCAAGGGATTCTCTCAATGAGGTTCACGAAAAAACATCGGGTAGGAAAAAAAACAATAATGTGGAAATGGATGGGAAAGTAAACATGGAGTTGTTGGGAAAAGGAAATGGAAGACGCCAATGGAGTTTTGGAGAAGACATGTATATTTCTTTTTTAGTTATGTTTTAGTTTTATAATTTTTGTCATGTTCTTGAGATAAAATGTTTATTTTCAGGTTGTTGGTGCAGCGAGTGCATCTGTATGGAGCCAAGAATTGGGCCCGTATTGCTGAAAAGTTCCCTTTGAGAATTGGGAAGCAATGTAGAGAGAGATGGCAAAATTATTTGAGACCAAATATCATGGTATTGATTTTATGTTATTATTAACAAATTATAACATCGTTATTTAATTTTTCATTTTGTTTGTCATACGTTTTTGTTCCATGAATGATGAATCGTATAATCAAGAAAATAGCGTCTTTTGTTGATGTTATATAAAACTACATTATTTTACAAATACATTAGTCTAAAGCGTAAGTTAGTGTTTGGTATGGGAATCAGGGAAAAATGGAATTGTACGCGTTACATTGGAAAATGGAATGGAATGGACTATTCCCGAAGGAATGTTATTCCTTCCATTTTGTTAATTTTCATTCTTTAGTAGGTTGGTGATTTTTTTTGGAAAATGTTAAAAATAACCAACGAAATATTCTGTTTGTCTACTTTTAGGTAATATGAACTTTTCAAAATCGTCTAGTTTTAGCCACTCAACTTATTCTTCTCCACTTTTAGATAATGAACTTTCTAAAATCATCTTATTTTAGTCATGTAAGTAGGTAAGGGCTACAGCCAGTTAAAGGGACTAAAACTATACGATTTTGCAAAGTTCATTACCTAAAAGTGGACCAAAATAAGTTGAGTGACTAAAAGTGGCCAAACAGAATAGTTTGTTGGTTATTTTTAACCTTTTCCCTTTTTTTTTTCATTCCATCGTGAACGAAAAATTACAATATAACCCATTTTTATTTATGTAATATCTGATGACATAAATTCTTTTTTAGAAATTACATGATTTTAATTTTTAAGTACATTACAATTTTATTTTCTAAATATAACTAAACATATATTCTCTATTGTTATATTATTTGTGTTTTGGTGAGAAGGGCATTCGTGTCTTTTTGCATAGACAAGATTATTTTCGACGACATAATGGTGAAGGGCATTCATGTCTTTTTCATAGACAAGACTGTCCCCCTTTTTTTGGTGGGACAAAATAGTGCAAATTTGTCCCATTGACATCTGATCCAAGAAACATTCCAATGCATGCCAAACACAGTACAATCCAGTCTGTTATGACTTGAGTGGGCCCTAATAGCTTTTTGTATATTAACTCTTTATTCTCCTTTTTTCTTTTTGTAGAAAAATGCATGGACCGAAGAAGAAGACAAGTTACTAATTTCATTACACCAACAATTCGGCAACAAATGGGCAGATATAGCAAGAAGGATGCCAGGAAGGACAGAAAACAACATAAAAAACCATTGGAACGCAACAAAAAGAAAACAATTTTTAAACAAGAATCATGAAAAGATCAAAAACCCCTCCTCCCTTTTAAAAGATTACATCACAAGCATTACTTCTTCCTCTTCACCCAATCATCAAATCAACATCCAACAACCACCACCCCCGGTGGTGGATCACACCACAACTGATTCCGTGGTTGGTTATAAGCCTGCTGAGCTGGCGCCTGATGAAAGGGATGTTGATTTTGATTTTGATGATGTGTCATCTCAATTGGTTGATGAATTGGTGTTTGATCCGACAAAGGAGATGGATTTTCTGAAATTGTTCTGTCAGTAGTTTAATTGCTGGGTTTTGGATTCGGGTTTAGGTTATTTCATTTCTTGCAGTTTTTATTGGAATTGTGAACTTGATATGAATTGAGTTTAAATTAGACAGTTTGTTTT